CACCGTAGCCGCCACTATATACATCGTGCGTAGAACTGGGATTCGATGTGGTGCAATAGCTGCTGCAGGTGCAGCCGTGCGCAAGGCAGCAGGCGTATTGCGTTTACGCATGCAGACCCTAAAAATGTGAATTTGGCAGTGAAGTGATTGGTAATGATGGGAAGGGAAAGTGATGATTCAGTACTTAGAAATATGGCAAGTATTTTTTGAAAAAAAAAAGTCAAAATGGAGGGCTAATAGGAAGCAGAATTAAAAAGGGGAGAAAACTATATCCTAAAAGAGAAAGTGAGGAAAATGTATAATAAAATGGCTCTCGATCGCCCGAAAATCCTTCATATGCAAATGGGAATTAATTCAAGGCTGATGCAATCTATTTGTAAAATTTTCTCCTGTCGCCCACGTTAGCAGGAAAACCCATCTGATGCTAAAAATACAGGGGCGACTAAAGAAAAACCACTAAATGACAAATACAACAAAGTACTGTAATCTAACTCCACATGGATTAGTTTCAAAAAAAAAGAATAATAGAGAAAACAGCTTAAGAAAAAATTTTAATGCCCTTCATAATCATAAAGTGCGTCGAATTTTTTGAGAAGACATTGCTTTTGGGGCTCCCACCTATAACCTCATTGCGCAACTTTCGAACAGAACTGTCTCCAATACAATTAATGTATGTCTGACCCAAAACAATGTCACTTTCTTTGCTTCTTCTCTCTTCACTTCTTCAATTTTTGTCTTTTCATCACTTTTCTAAAAGTTAAATATAATTGGTTGTGCTTTTGCTCTGTTATTCTTAAGCAAAAGTAGTCTTTTTTGGATAAAGATGAAAGAAGAAAAAAAAAAACGAAAAATTATAACATTTTCCATAGCAATCCATATACTGAGAGCGCTGACCGTAAAAAATGGATATGTTAATCGGTGTCCGACACTTCTCGCCACAAGTTGGTGAATCTATAGAAACAGTAAAAGAAAAAAATGTAAATCAGCATTGATACAGACAACTCTCAAATAATTAAAAGCATGACGAACTTTCTGTGGACTTGAAATGTATGTTTCGAAACAACAACAAATACGCAAAACCATGAATTCTCAAACTAAATCATACACGATCTTAATAGTTCAAAAAACTTTTTTAAGAAACAGGACAAATGTGAAAATTGTGAAATACTATTAGTCTCTTCGTCTAATGATTTCAGTAGTACTTGACATAAAGCGCTTTTGTCCCAGATTGAACAGCTTTTCGTCCAATA